CCTCATGAGTTTGCATTGTGCATTTGTGATTGGTTCATTGTCTAGCGCTTGGATTGATGGTGTCAGTGCTACACCCACATAGGGGTGGAGCCAGGATGTGATGTTAATGGAAGGAAGAAGGTGTGTCTTGCTCTTTGCTAGTTCCTGTTGCTGTTTGTGGCTGCCACGAACTGCAGCCCAGCCATGCCCACCTGTCTTGGAGCCAACTGAGTGTGGACTGAAACCTCCAAAAACTGTAAGAAATAAACTTTTCCTTTCCCAACTTGGGCTTCAGGTATTTGGTCTCAGCAAGGAGCATAAAGTAACTAAGACACCAAGTGTAAAGAATGTTAGAAAAATTGGTTAATGTCGAAATGCGTGAAGTTTTTATGAGGTATCCTGTTAATAGTTCTTATTATTTTTTTCTTGAGCCTTATAAACTGCTACCTATCTTATTAAATAGTGCTCATTAATCTGGGCCATGAGGTACTACTGTTGTGTGTCTTAAAGGCAGATGTTTGGATTTCTTTATTGTGGCATGGTATGTATTAGGGTCAGGAGGAAGTTTTGACTCAAAACCTATTTTTTTTTAGATTATCTATTAATTTATAGTTAGACTTCTGCAAATAGATCTGAAGGATGAAGAAGCATTCTCTGTATCCGAATTTTACTGTATAGGTAGCAAGATAAGGTATTGTTTTATGTTCCTTAGTGTTATTTACTGTTTATTTTGCTTTCTGATTGTTTAGCACCTTTTAAGACTTTGTCTATGAATATCATTTTAGTCTCATGAACCCTACTTTTTTGCACCAAGGTGGTTTGCCTTTCTCAGAGGTCAGATATAGTCATGTCATCTGTAGTTTGCCTGTGTAGTGCATCTGTGGGAGCCTGCTGTGCAAAGCGAGCTGCTGGAGAAACGGTGCTCAGGCTGGAGCTCGCTTTCCTATATTTTCTCCACTGGGCTCCTTCCCTTCCTTCGTGAGGCACAATTACTGTTAACAATACTGTCCTTGTGTGTCTTTCCAAACTTTGCTTTATAAGCATACACTGATATTATCCATAAATTAAATTTTTTGTGGTACTAGGGATTGAACCTGGGACCTTTGCAGTGAGCTATGTCCCTAACATATTTTCTTTTTCATTTTGAGACAGAGTCTTGTTCAAGCACTAAATTGCCCAGGCTGGGCTTGAACTTTTGATCCTACCTCCTTAGCTTCCCAGTGTGCTTGAATTATAGGTGTGTATGACCATATCCATCCATAAACTATTTAAAAAATATATTCAGGATGATTTTTTACAGACACAGATATTGAGAACATTTGATATTTATTTTTCCTGTTCCATGAATTATCTATTATATCTTTTGCTTATGTTTTAGCTTTTAAAAAGAATTACTTTTATTTTTTTTTTCCCTGTAAGAATATTGGCCAGGTGTGGTGGCACATGCTTATAATTCCAGCTCTTGGAAGGGGGAGGCAGGAAGATTGCTCTAAGTTAGAGGTCATCCTGGGCTACATATTAGCTCTTATGAGCGATCGGCCATATTGATTATACTTTGCCTCTGATTTTTCTTTAAAAATACCTCCCTATATAGTTCAGACTGACCTTGAACTCATTACATACTCCAAACTAAACTCAAACTTGTGGTGCTCCTTTGGCTTTAACTTCCTAGTGTTGAGGTTACAGGCATGCACAACCATTTTTTTTTCATACAGGGTTGTTTTTAGTTTTGGTTTTGTTTTGATAGGGTCTTGCTTTGTTGCCCAGGATAGGTTCAAACTCTGCTCAAGAGATCCTTCTGACTCAGCCTTCTGAGTAGCTGAGAATACAGGCATATGATGCTGTACCTAGCACAAATGCAAACATTTTAATATATACTTAGCAGTCAGTCACAGAGTGTTCCTTAACTCTTAGATTTTTTTCCTCTGCATGTGTTTTGCATGTTCAAGTAATCTGCCCATTGTTATACAGCTGGCAAACCCATCCATTTGGTTCGAGCACATTCCCATGCCCAGGACTAGCGTCTTACGCAACCTTAACACATGCAGAGCCTTAGGTCATCTGAGTTTGTTTTTGAAACTCAGTAGCAGACCACCTGCCTGGTACCTTTGTGTTTGGATGAGTATTCTCCTGGACATATAGACTGAATTAAATCTCCTGTAAGAAAGAATACTCTCAACATTCCCCTTTTGTAAACAGTAAGCAGTTGAGCCATCTCCTCCTAAGATATCATACTTCTAGGCACACTGTTGTGATTGCGAGAGCAGGCTTCAGAATCAAATGCTGGCTCTGCTACTTACTAGCTGTATGCCCAGAACACGTTACCCAACTGCTTTATTTCTTAGTTTCCTCATCTGTGAAAAAAATTAAAGAACCCACGTCTTTGGTTTGCAGTAACAGTGAGCTCAGGAAATGCAGCTGAAGTGTTTATAATAGAGCCTACTACTGCTGGGTTAGTGAGTATTACTTAAAACATGGGTTTGCTTCCTACTTTAAGAGACAACACATGGATAGTGCTTGTCTTCCTGTCTATTGCCTACAAACTTTAGGCAGTCCTAAGCTAATTACTGTATGTAATTAAATCTTTCTTGTTTCACAGAGGCTGAAACGAGATTGACAAGCAGTGTTGAGGTCATTGGAGATTTGGATAGTTGTAGTCTCTTGAGTCATTTTGTTTTTGTCATACTCAGCATCTCAGCTCTCAGAGGAGATGAGTAGTACCTAGGTGAGCCTAGGATTTAGGGCCTTGTGTGGGGCAGGAGGGCTAGCAGAATAATGGGTAAGTACTAAGCTAAAGAGATCAGTTGAGCTGATGTAATGTGGGGCCTGTGTTAGGGAAGGAAATAAATGATGGTAGCAAGAAAAAGAAGGGAGGAATTGAGAGAAAAACTCAAAACTGATAAGTTGATAATTATGTTTCTCTGAGAATTCTTCCAATTTTGAAATCTTCTCTTCCCTCGAAAGCCCTCAAACAATTGCAGTAACCTATGAGAAGCCTGGAGTAATTCAGGAACTGAACATGTAAACATGTTTGCCTCTTTTTTAGAGTAGAATTGACAACCAGTAATCAACAATAAATAGAACAAATCACAATGAGAGAAATTTGTTTTCCAACTTAGTTTTCAAATTTTTCTTAATAGCATCTTCATTCTTTCAAATAGCTGTGTAATTCCCTGAGAGAAAAGAAGTAAAATTATTAAAAGACGGATATTGTCAAGCTTTTTTAAAAATTATGTTGAGTTTATTCAAGCCCTTATGTAAGAGTCATCTTGTTTTTTATCTAGGTTAACCAGAATTAATGAGCTCACTGTTTGCTTAATTCATAAATTAATTTGGACACTTTTTACACTTCATTCCATTTGTGACAATATTTTGATGATTTGGCTAAGGCTGCATTAATCTTTCTCAGTCATGTAGAATCTAGTTAGGCCTTTTGGTTTCTCATGGGCAGAGCATAAAGTGTTTGACAAAATTTGATCTGACAGCTTTACACTTATATAACATAGAACAGAAGCTTAAAAACAAACAAAAAAAAAGAGAAAGAATTGAAGGATTTATCTTAACCTATATCTTACCACTTCACTTGTCTCTTTAAACTGGAGCAGAATCACCATAACACTAGTTGTTATGTAGCCTTAGATTTAGCAGGACTTTGAAAAAACGCATGAGAAGCTTTTGGAGGTGAAAAGGTTTTAGGATTATCTTGTCTGACTGAATCACATTACCATTGGGCACACCCAAGCCTGAAGAGGGGAAGTGCAGTACTTGCCTTGGAAAAGCTAAAGACGGGGTGGAACTGACCTAGGAACTAGGGTCACAGAAATTCAATTCCAGTGCTCTTTCTGGTACAATATGGAATAAACCAAGAACGGGTTATGATTTTACAAACGTAAATTTTGTATAACCACGATGTAATCCAGTGATACTTGATTTTGCATATGGAATAAAAATAATTACATTGGAAGGGATAGCTGATTGCCTGGGTTCAGTTCTTCTGGCCCTGCTAGTGGTGCGATGTGGTCGGGTCTCTAGAATCTCAAAGCTTTCTTGCTTCATTGATTAAGTAGGACTAATAGAAATGCTTGTCATATGTCAAACCCTGGCATATGGACACTTCAGTAAATGTTACCTGCTACTGCTAATCATTTAAAATTAATGAAAATTAGCATTCAGCGTGACTGTAGCAAAGTAAGGAATTTAATTAAGGACAGGTTGGTATGTATGTGTGTAGGCTTCTGGAATTAGGGAAATAATTTATAATTTTTTTGTATTAAGAGTGGTGATGAATAGCGTTTTTATTTATTTTATTAGTTTTTTGGTTTTGGTGATTAAACTCAGGATTACATGCTTGCCAGACAGGCACTGTGCCATATCTCTGGCCCCGTTTGTTAATTTTTATTTTATCTTACTTTGTTTTGTTTGGTGTCATGACATGTTATGTTACGTTATTTTGAGACAGGGTCTTGCTTTGTAGCTCAAACTGGCCTTGAACTCCTGACTAGACTCCTGCCTTGGCCTCTATGGAGCATTAGAATTACAGGTGTGTTCTTCCATGCCTGGCTGGTTTTTTTTTGTAGTCGTTTTTTAAATTGTGTTTAGAAATCACAGCTTCTCTTTTTTTCTGGTTCTCTTTTGTGTGCAGATTTGAAGACCTAAGTAGTCACATGGAAACAGGATTGTTTTGCATTTGAATAACATTTTTGTATATTAAAAAATAACCTTCGACTAACAATAAAAAGTTATTTTTCTGTCCGAAAGTTTTAGGCACAAAGGGTAAGGAGTCCTGTGGCACGCTGCAGTTGCCTTCCACTGGGCTTAGTAGGAGGCTTTGTGAGAGCAATCCCTCAGTGCAAGTTGCACTTTCTCCTGCGCTGATATCTGATAGTGAATTAGGTGCTTTTAGGTCAGACTCATGTGTCGGGAGTGTCTAGAGCACTCTGAACTCCGGGAAAAGGCATACAAACACACCAGATCGGGACACGGGGGGTGCAGCGCTAAGAAAAGAAACAGACTGCAATTGCTACTGCCTGCACTGCACTGCATGCACAATCTTTATTTTAGGATTCTTATATAGTAAACCACATCAATTCACAGAGCACAGACAATTGTAGTGAAAAAGCATTCTTTGTGAGAAGCTACAATGTGACAGACTACAATGTTTATCCTAAACTATCTAAGTGAAGTAAACAAGCACAATCAGTTCTTCTAGCTCCTCTAGCCCAGGAGGAAATTCATTAGCCCAAGAATGTTGTTAATTATGTTTGTTGCTAGTGTCACAAAAGGTGATGGACCACTTCCTCATGACTCTGTAAACAAAGCCAGGTCACACAGCATGGTTTTCAGAGGGTGAGAAGAACAGGCATTCCTGTCCCGCCTCTGTCTCGCATACGGGGGGGCTATTGTTTACTGCAGGTCCAAGGGGGCCTAGGGCCTTCAAAGTGACACCTCATCCCCCCCACTCATGAACATTTATTTATTTATTTACTTCTTTATTTTTGATACTGGGATCGAACTCTCATATGCACATTTAAATAATGATAGGAATTTTAATGTTAGGAAAATATATAACCTAATCTGTCTAATCTAATAGATATTTGTAGTTTAGGTCTTAATAGTTCAGGTGAATAAAATGTTTTTTAAAAAAAGCAAGTAGAAATTCTAATACATACATCCCCTTGGAAGAACCTTCAACCATCGTACAGAACAGAATAAACAGGGACTCGTAAAGTTAGCATCAGGTAGCCCGAGATGGAAGCTGGCTCTGTTGCCATCGCCTCACTGTTCCCTTCTGTTCTGTTTGGGGCAGACTCTTGCTCCGTAGCTCTCAGGCTGACCTTGAGCTCTCAGTCCTCCGGCCTCAGCTTTCTGAGTGCTGGGATCGCAGGCACATGCTAGATATTTCACAGCTAATGTGAACATTCATTCATCTCTTGCCACGCTGCTGAGCCATTTGAGAATGTTTTCACAACACTTTATTCAGGAACTTCAGTTTTTTTAGGGAAAGGGTTAGTGGAGAAATCAACCGTAACTATTTTCCTGGGCTCACCCTTACTAAAAACTGAGTCACTCCGTGAGACCAAAAAGCTCTTATGAAAATGATTTCTGAGAAGAATTATGGTGCTGTAAGTAAGGTGCGAAATGGAAGTGTTAGAAAGCAAACGAAGGGAGCAGGCCGAGAGTCCCAGCACTCTGGGGACAGGCAGTCCAACTCTCCCTGGGCCACTGAGCAGCTTCCACGGCCCTGTCCCAAAACATAAAAAGGCTGGTGGCTGCAGCTTTGCCTTCGGTCCTCCGTACCAAATAAGAACATGGAACACAATGGGGAGCAAGAAAGCAAAAGAAGAAATAAACAAGCAAAGCCTTTGGAATACGCCTGCGTTTTTACCTGATGCCACAGGTAATTCTCTTTTGACCCAGGAATTCACAAAATGTTCTCCCTGAGGAAAAATAAATATATATTACTAATTGTTTACCTTAGTTGATACACACCTATCTAGGAATAAGACCTGAAACCATTCCTCTCCTGCCATGAACAGTTTCGTAAGGCAGAATAGCAGAGTTGTTAAAGAAGCATATCCTTAATTGAATTAGGGAATTTTAAAAATTTTTTGAACTGGAAGTTGAACCCAGGCCTTTGCATTGAGTTATCTCCCTTCCCCTTTTTAAAATTTTAAGGCAAAGTTTCACTAAATTGTTAAATTTCTAGGCTAGGCTCAACTTTTGATCCTCCTGCCTCAGCCTTCCAGAGTGCTGGGATTACAAATGTATGGCACCCAGCTAGAAAATGTTTTTAATGCAGTTTAAAACAACAGCAGTGAAATGTTTACCCGAACTCAGGAGGAAACTTCCTGAAGGCCCCTTTTCACAGCTTACAAACAGAACTGCATTTGATACCACAGAATTTTGATTAATTAAGAAAGATCTAACAAGGAAAGTGAACTCAGAAGAGTTACTGAGCAACTAATCCCTCTGAGATAACTGCACCCAGATTTCTTTCTCCTCTACTTTCCATGCATGTTGTTGTTTTGTTCTTTTTTTTTTTTTTTTTTTTTTTTGAGACAGGGTCTCAAGTCCAAGCTGGCCTTGAATTCACTATATAGCACAGGCTGACCTCAAAGAGCGATCCTTCTGCCTCAGCCTTCTGAGTGCAGGGATTCCAGGCATGTGCCACCATGCTTGGCATTCAGCCCATACTCTTTACAGGGTTTTGGTCTTCTGATTCACATAGCCAATAAATCTTTGTAGTTTCAGCCAGTTTGACCTGGGTTTCTGCTCACTTCCTGTAACCCTGACTGCTACAGGTTAAAGTCCCAGCAGGAGCCCTCAGTGGTAGTGATGCCAGGCAAGGGCACCTTACTAGCAGCAGAGGTGCCAGGAGCATGGCCTCAGCTGCAGAGTGATGATCAGAAGGACAGGCAGAGCTGTCAAAGGTCAGCTTTCTCCAGTCCCTAGAAAAGGGACTGCTAAGTGCTCTGGAGTAGCAAAAGGATGTAAAAGATCATTTTCTTTTTTTTAACCACTTTGCAGATGAAAGGCAGAAGAATCCAAAGAGAAAGGAAAGAAGAAAAAACTCACAACATAAAAAGAATGCCTCTCCACTTGGGATTCAGGTACTAGGCAATCAAAAAAGACAGACTGAGGAAATAATTCTCATTTATGTTACCGTCATGCCAACAAATCCCTGGTAGCTTTGAATATACTGAGCAGTTTCCTCTGAGGACTTCTTACTTTGAAGAAATTCACATCTGTAATTTAAAATGTAATTAAACTTTATACTGTGACATAAATGTTGTGAATCACATTAAACATAATGAACATGTTGAAGTCACCCTTCTATAAAACTGTCAAAATGTTTTACCACTAAACCTACTTTGAGAACTGTCACTGTTTTGATGAGAGTTACTATTCTTATCAGCAGTAACATGTGTGATTATTTAAAAGTAAATCTGAAGATTATCTCCCCCCCAACTCACAAAACCAACCTATAATATCTATTGTTTCATAATTTATTCTACAGACCTTATCTAATCTGAGGCATTACAGTGTTTTTTGTTTGCATGTTTGTTTGTTTTTGCAGTGCTGGGAATTAAACCCAGAGCCTCCTGTATTTTAGACAAGAGCTGTACCACTGACCTACACATATCTCAGTCCCTTTTTGTCTCCTCTTTTGAGGTCAGGTCTTGCTGTATTGCCCAGGCAGGCCCTGAAGCTCTGATGCTCCTGCATCAGCCACTCAAACAACTGGGATTACAAGTGTGCGCGCCACCACACCTAGTTATTTTAAAAGGCTTCGATGCATCTGTTATAGTTCATGTTGCTTTTTCTACTTAGCCTATCATAGTTACCCTCCCTTTTTGTTTGCCTGGCTGCCCAGTACAAGATGACTTACAGATGTAAACACCTGCCGAGTCCTTGTAGGGCTGATCCAGAATCTAACCAGCAACTTTCTCACAAGCAGTAGACAGAGGTTTGTTCAAGAAAAGAGAACCTGAACCTGGTCAAACAACTAATCCAAGGGTCAGGTTATTGGAACAGAGAAACTAGAGGAACACAGCCCAGTGTAGTGGCGCACATCTATAATCCAGCAGTCAGGAGGCTGAGACAAGAGGATCGCCATGATTTTGAGGCCACCTAGGTTACACAGTGAGTCCAAGGCCAACTTGAACTACATAGTGGGACCCGTCTCAAAAAAAAAAAAAAAAAGTAGGAAATGCTAACTTGTGTCACAGAAACACACAGAAACACAGTCAGCCAAATCTGGAGAACAGGCAACTTTACATGGCAGAGAATTTAGATTCTTTCCTGAATTAATGGGTGGGGAGATGGTGAAGGTGATGAATAAAAACTGCAAGAGAAAGAGAGAGGGTGGGGGCGCTGGAGCTCTGACTTGGTTGGTATGTTTCAAGGAGACTTAGTGATATTGTAGTTACGGATTTTAAGACATATTCTTAGCAGTTAGTTATGTACTAAAATAATAACATTATGAGCTAGCTGGGGTTGGCTTTACAATAATCTGGCTAATATTAATTCCAGGGGGAGAAAGGTGGGCGACATATGATTTGGCCATGTGTTGAAACAAACATTCACTATATTATTCTCTCCACAATTAAAGCTTAAAAATTTACTAAAAAATTTACTGATCTATATGTGGTATAAACAAAGTCATGTAGAAGATACTAGTAATGATAGTGTTAAAAATAGTCAAAATATAAAAAATGAATACATTTTATTCTCTCTCTCTTTCTCTCTTTTGAGACAGGGTCTCACTATGTAGCTAGGCTGGATTCAGACTCAGTGATCTGCCTGCCTCAGCCTCCCAAGTGCTAGGACCACAGCCATGCATCACCACATCTGGGTAACAGTTTTCTTTTCTAAGCAGGGAACAGAAAGACCACTGTAGTAATTAAAGCTGAGTTTCTGATAGGAAACATTTTCATTCAGAGCATTTTTAAAAGTGTGTAAAATGATTTATAATAACATTTTATTTTATTTTACTTTTAGATAGAGTCACTATGTTATTCAGGCTGGTCTTGACTGAGTATGTCCAGCCAGGCTGGTCTTAAACTTAAGGCAAAATCCTCCTGCCTCAGCTTCCCCAGTGCTGAGATTACAGGCATGTGCTGCCACACTTAGCTGTAAGTTTTGTTGTTGTTTTGCTGTGTTGGGAGGGTTTTTTTCTTTTTTCTTTTTTTCCTTGACACAAGGTTTTGCTACATAGTGCAGGCTGATCTTGACCTCACTATGTAGTCCAGACTGGCCTCAGACTTCAAACTTCTGGCAATCCTCCTGCCTCAGCTTCCTAACATGTGCTACCGTGTCCAGCCGAGCTGTAATGTCTTACACATTTTACTTACTTTCTAACTTCCTTTTCAGTCACTGTTCATTAGGCCTATGCAAAGTATCTTCCTAATAAGGTGAATCATGGAAACTTCTACCTGGCAAAACATACCTTGGTATTTGGCATAATAAAACAATGTTCAAAAACTGTTTAAGGGCATAAACTGCAAACTTCTCATGGTATAACTAGGCCTCTTCCACCTGGATAATTCTGGGTGGTCCAATTTTGGAGAGGGAGTAATTCAACCCAAAGTGGATACTCAGCAGGGTTCTTTGTCTTTGTCTCTATAAAAACTAAAAAACGTAGAGGGGTGTGTTTCTACACACCTGTAATCACAGCTACTGAGGAGGCTGAAGCTAGAGGACTCCAAGTTTGATCCTAGCCTTGGCAACTTAGTAGGGCCCTGTCTCAAAATTAAAATATAAAATGAAAGGCTCAGTGGTAGAGCATCCCCGGGGTTCAATCCCCAGCACTGCCAGGTAAAACCAACAAAGCAAAATGACACAAACAAAGGAAAAAAGCACAACACAACAGCAGACCTGACCAGTGTTAGCAGAAAAACACGCAAGCACTTACTTGGGAAACCACCTGGCATGTTCCTGCCAGGGGTCGTCCCCTTCTTCCCAGTTTCCTAAGCATCCGCCGCAGGAGAAGCACTGCATGGTGTCCCTGTGACCTGTGGACACAGGACAGCGGCTCAGGGGCCACCAGCGGCCCTGAGGGGCTCCCGGAGGTGACAGCTCTCTTCAGGGCCCAGCTGCCCCGCGTGCTGTTCCTCCAGGAGCGCTCGGCCACCCGGTCAGCCCTGCTGCGCCCCGCGAGCCCCTGCCTGTGCACATCCAGTCCACTGAGCTCCGCAGCTGCAAACCCTCGCTGTTAGTTTCTCCACGCTGCTTCTGTAAAATGCAGGCCCTTTTTTTGATTCTTGGTGAAAACAAAAACTGAAAGATCTCTGAGTCTTGATGGAAACAACTGTGACTTGGAAAAGAAAGGGGCAAATGGGTTGGTGCGGAATTGGAGTTCATCTGCGCCTCGCATGAAGCAGCCGCTCAGTAAGCCACGGTCGCTCTTAGGAAGCCTCGGTCTCCTGTCACCATCCATGGTGAGGCCAAGACATAAACACACAGGCGCCGGGACGGAGCTCAGCGGCACACGCACCTGCCTGGAAAGTGTGACATTGTGTTCGATCCCCTGTACCGAGAGAGACAGAGACAGACACAGAGAGACAGACAGAGACAGACAGAGAGACAGAGACAGAGATTGATTTTAAAAAACCTTCAAAACCTGTAGGAATTTTAAAAATCAAAGAAAGCTTATGTGAGAGCAGTGAAGAGCTCCTCATTCGTGAGGAGACGATTGAACAGCAGCATCAGGACCTAAAGAACACAGTCTGTGTCACCTAAGGCCCCTATATATGGAAAGATAGCCTTCTAGTTTTATATACCTTTGACGAATTAACACAAGGTGCACAAAACATCAAGAAAAATTACTGAAGTGGAATTTGGGGGGGGGGTTTGCTTGCTTTTTTAAATTTTATTTTGTTTATGCTATGTAGTCCAGGCTGGCTTTTAACTCACTGTATAGCCCAGACTGGCTTAAAATTCTGGGCAATCCTCCTGTTTCAGCCTTGCAAGTGCGGAATTACAGGCCTGTACCACCACACTCTGCGTGAAGCAGAATTTTAACAAAATAGATTTTTGTCTAATATAACACATTGAACAAGCAACGAAGGATTCACAAAGCAGCTCAAGAGCAACCAAAGCATGGAACCTCAAGTTAAAACTTGGGGAGAAGCCCTGTAGGAGACGGTTTCAAGTTACCTGTAAAGACCAAGCCGGAAGCTGCGAGGCCCCGTGGGGACACTGCGTGGACGCAGAAGGGCCAGTCCTGGAAGGACGCGAGCCTGGCCTCCTGCTCGCGGTACCTCGTCGGCCACCGCTCGGCTCCTCGACTGGGGTCTTCACCCGCACGTCGTACTTGCCCAGGTTGCCCACGTCTCTGCCCAGCAGGAACGGGCAGCCGGGGCGGAACTCCCTGCGATGCTCCACGGGGACCTTCCCGCAGCTGCAGCCGGAGAGGACCAAGCTGCAGCAGAAGCACTGAACCCGGACTTGGGCTTCACCCGGTGCAGTAAAAGCCCGCTGCTGCCATGTCCTGCGGCGTCCAGGAGCTGTACGGTGGCAGGTGGCGACGGTCCTCGGCCGGCGGCCTCGCTGCGCGTCTGGGGTTGCAGCCCTTGCTCATCAGCCCGCTCTCTGTGCTCCTCCTCCTGCAGCTTCAGCAAGGCCACGGTGTCCATGCCCAGGAGCGCCTACATTTCCTGGGCCAGGCCTAGTCAAACTGGAGATCCTCTCCTCCGCCTTGTCCAGGGTGCTCATTTTCTGAAACAAGAGTTAGCGTCCCTGTCAAGGAGCCACAAACGCAGGAGAAAGCTGTGCTCCAGAGCAATGGTTTGATGAAATTACTCGTTTTTAAAACGACCTTGTTCTCACTGTGTCCACTTTCCAAGCAGTAGTGCTCTGTCCCCAAGCTCAAGAGGCCCCATAATTATGGCTATAGATGCTATGCATTTCATTTTATAAACTACTTACCTAATCAAAAATTATAAAACATCATCATATTGATAAATACATAGCTCTTTGTGCTTTTGAATGGCTTCATGTAGGACACTTAGGTTGTTGCCATTTTTCTCTTCATCAACAAAGTTCAATACGCTTTAAACAAAGTCTTTGTTCTTAATCTTTATTTCCCAGGCTACATTTCCCAAAGAATAATGACTGAGGCAGTCACACCCTTTTTGGACTCCTGGAGTTTTTTGGTTGAACTGGGAGTTGAACACAGGGCTTTTCATGGAGCTACATCCCAGGCTTTTTAATCTTTTTACTTTTGAGACAGGGTCTTGCTAAGTAGTTAAGTTGCCCAGGCCAGCCTTGAACCTGTGATCCTCCTGCCTCAGCTTCCCAGAGTGCTGGGATCACAGGTGTTCACTATCACCCCCAGCTTCTACCATATTTTTTTTAATAAACAGTTCATTATACTAGAACATCTGCATCTACTATGTTCTTAATTAGGGCTGAATCTCTTGGCTGTTTCCTAAATATCTTGTACTGTTACCAAGTGAATGCATAGTTGGGTAGGCTTAGATAATTCTAAAGTTTTTCAGCTGAGTGTGGTAGCACATGCCTGTAATCCCCGCACTCAGAAGGCTGAGGCAGAAGGGTTGCTGCAAGTTCCAGGCCATGAGTTCAAGGCCAGTCTTAACTACATAGTGAGACCCTGTCTCAAAAAAGACCAAAAAAAAAAAAAAAAAAGGATTCCCATCTTACATCACTCATTAAAATCAGATGAAGACCAGATTTTCTGCATGAAATCTTTTCTTAAAGGGTTGGGCAAGGGATGTGTTAATTCAGATATCATGTTTATTCTAACAATGTGACAATGAAAGATGATACAACACTTAAAGTTTGCTCTTAGAACGTCCAACTTTGAGTCACTCCCTACTTTTTAAATCACAACTTTATTGAGATATAATCAACATACCATAAATCACCCATTTAAAACTTATTACTTAATAGAGCTGAACGTAGTCGTAGACTTGTGCAGTCATCCCCACAATCAATTTTAAACTTATCCCTCTCCAAAGAAATGCTGTCTTCATTAGCAGTAGCTTCCTATGTTTCCTACACCCACCCAGCCCTATTCCAGGACTAATGTACTCTCTATATATTTATTTTGAGCCAGATGCGAGGGCACACACTTTCAATCCCAGCAATGAGGGGGCTGAGGCAGAAGGATCACTGCAAGTTCAAGGCCAGTGTGGTCTATATAACGAACGAGTTCAAAACAAGCCTGAACTACATGAGAGACCCTATCTCAAAAAAGTCAAAAGGAAAGAAAAATTCAATAATAACAAGAAATATACTTATTGCCAACATTTCATATGAATCATACAACATGTGGTCTTTGAGGGCTGGGGATGTAGCTCAATGGCACAGGGCCTGCCTGGCAAGCGCAAGGTGCTGAGTTTGATTCTTGGTACCAGGAAAAAAAAAAAAAGGCTTTGTAATCTGAGCAAGTGCTTTGAAGACAACGCCACACAATATGTTTACCATTGTTAATCTCCTATTATTGTGTCTTGAAATTCTCTATCATTTTTCTCTTAAACAGTAATGTTTGTTTTTCCTAAACAATTGATGTCTAGGCACATTCGTTTAACATTAAGGGTCAGCCTGGGGTCGCACCTATTAGGTACTAGGGTAGCGTTCCTTTTCGTGGTCAAACCCTGCTCCATTCTGTGGCTGTGTTACATTTCATCTCCCTACCTGTCCACACCGGGTTTGTTTACACTCGGGGTTGTGAACAGCGCTGAAGTGCACTCTGAGCACGTGTTTCCTGTGGAAGTGTCTCGCTCCTGCAGCCACAGCGGCACTGTCCTATCACATTCACCGGATGGGAACCCCCTGACTTCTCATCAGCAGCCCTGCACGCAGCAACGCGTTTGCGTTCCGGTCCCAAATGCCAGTGAGGTTTTCCCGCCACTCTCAGGCTATTTTATCTTTGCCAGTACAAAGGTCCTCAGGTTCCTGGCAAGGGCAGCACCAGAACTCACCAGCCTCCTCTTCACAGCAGATTGCTTTGAAGGGACAGTAGTTTTGGCTTTTGTGTCATTACAGGGTTTATTTGCTAGTAAATTAGGAATCTATTGTGGTCTTGGACGGTATGAGGAGAGGTTGGAGCAGACAGACCACCTAACCGCTCCATCAGTGGTGGTGAGCCTGTGGCGTGCTTGTTGCTGTGTTGTTTTTTTAAAGACAAAACACAGTAATGTTTAAGTTGTTTTTCCTAAATTAAAACCTCAGTACTCAGATTTAATTGCAGTGCTGGCATTTTGTGATAAACAAATGGGTTTGGAGTTGTACTGTGTTTTTTCTTTTTCTTTTTTTTTTTTATGTTTATTTATTTTTGGTACCAGGGATCAAACTCATGATCTCATGTTTGCTAAGCAGCGCTTACACTGCTGAGCTAAATCCCTAATCCTGCTTTGTTTTTTACAGGGTCTCTCTGCATAGTTCAGGCTGAACTTGAACTCATGGTGATCCCCTTGCCTCTGCCTCCTGAGTGCTGGGACTATAGGTGTGTGCCACCATGCCCACATAGGATTGCAGGTTGGCACTCATCTTTAAAAGGTTCATCATTAAAGAGATGCAAATGTGGCTGGGGATTTAGCTCAGTGGCACAAGTGCTTGCCTGGCAAGTGTAAGGTCATGAGTTCAATCCCTAGTATAGAGAGAAAGAGAGAGAGAGGCTAACAAATGCTGGTAGGGTTATGGGGAACAGGAACCCTTCTCCACTGCTGGTGGAAGTGTAGACCACTGGTATAACCACTGTGGAGATCAGTGTGGAGATTCCTCAAAAAACTAGGACTATAGGTCCCATTCAACCCAGCTATTACCCTTCTGGGTACCTTCCCAGAAGAATTAAAAAGATCATACCACAGTGATATATGTGCACCCATGTTTATAGTAGCACAATTTGTAATAGCTAAATCTTGGAAGTAACCCAAATGCCCATCAGGCGAGGAATGGGTAAAAAGAGATGTGATATTTTTATACAATGGAGCACGACTCAGTCATAAAGAAAGTTAAGCTTGAGACATCTCTAGGTAAATGGATGTAACTCAAGACCATACTCATCATAAAGAAAGTTAAGCTTGAGACATCTCTAGATAAATGGATGTAACTCAAGACCATACTCATATGTGAAATAAATCAGACTCACATGTGTAAACATCATATGCTCCTGGTTTGAGAAACTGAAAGAGTAAATAAGGTCCAAAATTTACAATATTGTGAAATGGGAAGAACCTGTTCAAAAGGAAAGAGGAACTAGGGTGGGGGAAAGAGGAAAGGAAGGAAAGGTAAAGGAAAAAAATTACAAGATGGTTATACTACTAGTTTCTCTAGTTCATTGAAAAGAAAGGCTTGTGCTCATACCATTTGCAAAATTTTTTACATGCATGTCTTGTACTCTGCATAACTATTTAAATATAACAATATGCAATGTGTTAACTATTGTCATTCTCCAGTTATTTTGCTTTGAAATTTTTTCATAAAATATACTATTAAAAAACAAAAGATTCACCACAGCACTATATAAACCATCTTATGGTGATATGTTAACATTTTGCTGTGCCTCCATTTTCATGGTTTTTTCCTTTCTTTTTCATGTCATTTCCTTGTTTTATTTTGATGTGATGGGGCCTGAGTCCAGGGCTTTGCACTTGCTAGGAAAATGCTTCACCACCAAGCTACCCCCCAGCCCTTTCATGCCACTCTAATTATCCATCAGAACACTTCCACCTGACTGGCTAGTCCTGACATTTTAAAATCTCTTTTATTCAACTGTTTCCTTTCTCAGGGACAGTACTAATCTCACACACGCAGAGCAGATGGGCTGCTCTTCTGCAGTGGTCCCTCCGCTCCTCTCCCAACATGAGGAGTCTGAGTGGTCAGAGGCCTCCTGTCACAGTGTCTCTTAGGTCAAAGATGTGAAATCAGGAGGCCTAGTAGCATGATGGAACCAGTTCAAAGGTCCTTGTTCGCATTCTTAACATTTCAGCCACCTCACTCATAGGTAAAGTTAAGTGATGGATTTCCTCTACCCAGAATGTTACCTAGCTCATCCGATTTGGAATTTGCCCATCACCCGCACTTTTGCAAAAGCTGCTGTGAGTTGAAGTTCTATATTAAGACCAAGCATTCCCTTTCATTTGAAGCACCATGAGATGGTACCTAATCAAAAAGAAAGAGCTTCTTTGTCTCTGGTAAGGTTCATTATAGCAGTGGTTCTTCAGGAAGCACTCTACATCACTCCACAGTTTATCTTGCTTTAAATGGTTCTTTCTGTTGTCTCGTGATGGTCTCTCCAGACAGCGAGTCTTTAGTGGTCACCCATAGGAGGACAGGCAGGTCCCCATCAGACCAGCACTTTAGTAGTAGCAGGAGGAACTGTCAGGTGGGCACTCTTTCTTGCTCACTTTGTTTCCACAACACCAGCAAACATACAGGATTCTTGGCTAACTTCCTCTGAACTTAGCTATTTCCTCTGGCTTTGGAGCTACCACATTCAGGTTCTACTGAGAAGTGCTTTCTCTTAAGAGGAACTTAAGTACTTGAGTGAACTCAAACCAGCAACCAGCCTGGCACCAATAAATATTTCTCCCTCCCAGATAAAGCCTTTGATATCATTTAACTTATAAAGTAGCAGACTGCAGGGGAAGAGAACAAGAAGTCACCAAGAAGCAAGCCCTTTCTGCAATAGGTGCCATGCATGGGCTGGTGGGGGAGAGCCAGATGCCAGCCCTTCCCAGCACACAGGCTGGGAAACAAGAACAGTCAAATAACCCCCTCCCCCACTGTAAGCAACTGGCTGAACCAGAGAAGCACAGGCTGCAATGATGGACACTGAGGTTAAATACAACTTCATGCTTTTAGTGTTTAGTGTCTCACTGACTTTGCAGGTCTAAACCTGGTAGTCTGATCATCGATTCAAAGGATAAAAATATACAATACAACATCTATAGGGGATCTCCTTCTGAAGGTGGTAGCCATTGTTAATTCTCACTATCTTGTTGTGAAGTTCTGTGTCACTTTCATTGCTTTGTTGGGTTGGGTTTTATTCTGTTTTGTTTTGTTTGATTTTATTATATCTGATGGCTTGGGTAGCTATTTCAAGAATGACAAGATAGATTATTGCAGCCATTTTATATTTACTATTATCTTGTTTTGAAGTCCTTTATTGCATTCATTGTTTTGCTTTTGTTGGTTCTATTCTGTTCTGTTTGATTTTTATTATGTCTAAAATATTTTGAAGACAATAAGAGGTATTATGGTAACCATTGCTGATTTCCTATTTTGAAGTTCTGTGTCACACTGGTTTGATTTGATTGGTTTTATTTTGCTTGGTTTTATTCTATTTAAAATAAAACTGTTACAAAGTAAAACATTTATTTCAATGATCCTATTCGCAGTACCATCTTCAGCAATGACAAAAGGTTGAACAATCGACAGAAACTCGTGAGGCTCTCTGTAGTACACCTACGTAAGGCTTTGATGAAGCTCCAAACTCGCGCCAGACCAAAGGAAGCACCAGGCGCAGCTTACTTCCTGGGAGCCTTTCTTCGTCCCGTGAGACCAGCTTCATCTCTAGTAACGAACCACTCTGATGTAAACTCTGATCACAGCTCCTCCAACGTGCCCTGGTCTCTCACACTTAGCCAGTGTCCCATTAATCAAGTCTTGGGACATTCATTCCACTTGGCCAGAGAATGCCCACAAAGCTGGGGCCTCCCCAGAGATAATTAAGCACAAGCTCACAGCACTCTGACTGAGATCAGTGTTGTGACTAACCTTGGTGGCCAATTTTGCTAGTCCTGGGACCATTTCCAGGGAGAAAAGATGATTTTTGGAGGCCCTTTCCAGACCTGATGTTCTTTGACTAAAAGTATTAAGAACACCAGCAGGGAAAATATGTCACAGAGCTAGGATTTAAACCCACGTCTATGTGACCCCAGGGTCTGTCCTGCCTCTTCCCCACCAGGCTGCCTCCAAAGAGAGAAACAAGAAGAACACACACAGACAGAAGAGCCAGGATTGTGCAGAAGTCAGAGCCCAGTGCTTTCTTGGAGGAGGCTGAAGCAGCAGCTGTAACCCCTGGCCTTTGGGATCAGGGGGTCTCCATGGGGCTCTGAGGCCACACAGCCCCCTCACTTCTTGTGAACAGTGTGGACTTGCTGGCCAGACAGGTGGCCTGCCTTCCAGGGCAGCCAGTAAAGATGGGCAGGGCTGCCACTGTGATCCCCTTGACAGGGCCTTGCAAACATTTAAGGATCAAGTGTTGGAAACCTGGACTGCATTTCTGTGCGAGTTATGAACTGCAGCAGGATCACTATCTGAGAAGGTGTTCTGCCCTTTCCAGGGGTTCTTTGGGGTTCACATGTTAGGGTCACTGCATGTGTTCCCGCCTTCCCACAGGGGGGTGCACAGAAGGGTGGGACCTTCAATGCCAGAGGCACCACACCTCTCCAGTAAGCTTGCGCAGCAAGTCAGGCCTCAGGGAGCCATGGGCTCTTTCTTCTGCAGAGGGCAGAGTTGAGCCTGGGTCCCCATCACTTCCTAACACAGGGCGGATCCTTGGAGCACTCAGGAGGAAACTGGAGCCCTTTTCTCAAATGATTGTTTCTTGTAAAGGGCTGGAATGTCTTTTTTGATAACAGACACTATAGAAGCTTAGAGCAAAAGCCTGTACTGTCACTCCCTAGACAGCGATGCAGCCACATCTGCAGCCTGATCTATGTGTGCACTCTGAGTCCTCTGAAGGCCATGAGCCTCTTCCACATCTGCACTGTGTGGCAGGGCACTGGTGACATTACAGAGCCTCTCTACCCAGGAATCTGTGCTGACAGTTTCACCGGCACAGCAGAGGTACCCAGGAAGTGTCACCATGCATAAAGGCGGTAACTGCTCACCTCGGCTGTGTTCACAGACACCAAATAGGGCTCACCGCGCGGCTGCTTGGGTGCAGCTGCCAAATGCTGGCTCCCTGCTCTCTGGCAGCGCCAGCTCTCCCGTGGTTTTACCAGGCTACGGGTTTTGACCAAGCTGGATTGTGAAATCTCTCTTGAAACTCATTTTCAAAGTTATGCATGAAGCAGAGCATTTATGGTCTTTGCCCATTTGTATCCCTTGCCTGCATTTACATTACGCATTTCCCCTTGTAGATCTCAACACGTCCTGATGGTGGCAGTGCGTCTGTCGACTCTTTCATCATTTCCCTGTAACGTAAACAGTTTTATATTTTGTACACATTCAACTTTATAATGTCCTTTAAAATATTTAAAAATACTACATGTCTGAAAAGCAAAGCTTGTGCTAATATTGTTTGGACAATGAAAAGCAAGTATCTCGTACTTAGAGTAACTAAAGATACCAATGGCAATGTATTAACCATTGTTACCCTCTTCTCTTGTTTTGAAATTTTATTTTTTTATCTTTAAAATTGAAAAAGAGTACTAAGTGTCAGAATATTTGTATATTTGTGTCACATGACCCTTTGTGAAAATGTACGTGGCTCCTCTGCCTGGTATCCACCTGGGAACACTAAATTGTGTGTGCTTGCCTTTCTTCCAGAGCCTGCAATAGTTAACCTGCCCTTCTCTGTGCTAGCATCATTAAAGATGGCTGCCCCTTTAAAACATAAAAAAAAGAGCAGGAATGGGAAGAGCCAGTGGAGATGTGGAAGAAGCATTTCTACTCACCAATTGGACGGCCCCCAGGTCCTGGTTCCTGGAGGGATAGCGCTGGCTGAAGAAGGAATGAGAGGGTGCATCTCAAGGGAAGATGCCCTGTGCTTCTCCGGTAACGGGGAGCAGAGTTTTAGGGGAGGAACTGAAAGTGAAAACAAATGGCACATTGGAGAGCTTACTGGTATGGTCTTGAGGAAGCAGGGTCAGTCTGGACTCTACAGGAAGCACGAAACCGACCAAGTCTTGCACCACAAAGTAGAGTCCACCAAACAAATGTATACCCACTCCAGGAAAAGAAAATGGCACACTCTTTCCTCCACAGATGGGGTCACCCTCATGTGAGAGACGCTAGAGGATGCCACGCATCACAGAAAACCCACTGCACCGCCGGCCCTGAGAGGAGAAATCAAAAATGTGTGTGCAGCAATCTCAGTGACTAAGGTGACACACACACGGGTTTGCTGTAGTAATAAATGTCAGGAAGCTGGTGGACACCACTGAGAGCACCTTTTGTAATTGTAGAGGCCAAAGGTAAAAAGGTAACGTACTAATCTCATGATGTCTGAATACATTTAGTATTAAAATATCTATATAAGTTTTGGGCTTGGGATACAGCTCAGTGGCACAATTTGTGCGTGGCAAGAGTAAGATCATGAGTTTGATTCTTGGTGTAAAAAAAATTATACGAGTTTTTCTTTTCCTAAAGTGTACACACATTTTTTTTTTTTTTGTCTTTTTTGTTTTTATTGGTACCAGGGATCAAACTCACTACTGCACACTTGCAAGGCAGGTGCTTATGCCGCTGAGTTAAATCCCCAGCCCCGTGTACACACATTTTTTTGGTGAACTCTATTTGTTCTGAAGTTGGTAAAGATTGGTTGTTATGTTGTTGGTGTGTTTTTCTTTGATGGTGACAAGTTTTACTCTGGTATCTTTTAAACTGTGAAGTTATAAAATTCCCAAATATTGTGTCTAGGTATAGGGTTTTTGTTTTGTTTTGTTTTGTTTGAATCAGGGTCTTATTATGTAGTTTAGGCTACCCTTGAAGTCATCATGTGGGGGGGAGTAAAATTTATAGAGATCCTCCTGCCTCAGTCTCTCAAGTCACCTTCTATCATTTCTTTGCCAATTTGCCTTTTTTGGGGGGTATTCTCACTTGTTAGGTGGGAATTTAGTCGGTCACTTAGGTTCTTTTTTTCCTCACATATATTCTTAGTGGTTTTGCCCTAATTACTGGATTTCCTCTTTTATTTTCCAATATTTCAGTATTTTAAAATTTTATCAATTTCCCACAGTTCTCATCTTCTTTTCCATTTTTTCACATCTAATTTTTCTTATCCAATGCAAACTTCTTGAATATTTCATATGATACTAGCTCCTTTGTTTGCTGAATTATCTATTTCTTCCATGATTGCTATAATTTACCTTGATGTTTATTTTTCCCATTACCAGATATCTTCAAGTGTATAAAGATCCTTAATTTTCCATTCATGTTTAAGAAGTGGAAGATTTAAAAGCAAACTGGGGCTGAGCATTATGGCACAAGCCAGAGGATGACTGTGTATTTGAAGCCAGTCTGGGCTACAAAGTGCCTGAACTAAACAGTGAAACCCTGCCTCAAAAACTAAAATAAAATAGCAAATTGGTTATAATAATTGTTTAAGAGTCTAACGAGGGAGGGGCTGGGGATTTAGCTCAGTGGCATAAGTGCCTGCCTAGCAAGCACAAGGTCTTGAGTTCAATCTCCAGTACCACAAAAAAAAAAAAAAAAAAAAAAAAAAAAAAAAGAATCAAATGAGGGGGAGTAGCTTACTGGTAGAGTACTTGCCTAGCATAGATGTACTGGATTTGATCCCAGCATCAGGGAAAACACCAAATTAGGAACTACAGAAATGTGATGTGAATGTTGGCCTTTCAGTTTAGAATAAATCAGGAAGCCAAGATTTAGCCTCAAGAAGACTAGGTGTCAGAGAAGCACCTCAGAAAATGATCTCAGGTTATCTGGAAAGATAAAGATAGCAGCTGAAAGCTCACTTGGGACAGTCCTTTGGCATGGAAAGGCTGTGCCCTTTACTTGTCAGAACTGTGACCGTCTAGGCAACGTCAGTATTGAATTAAACTGCAGAACATCTAGCAGGCGCCCTGTACTGCAGCATGAATACCTAGAGGCCTGGGCGAGGCTCAACACCTTGCACGGAGCTCTGCAGTGGCCTAACTTGGGTTGCGAGGTACGGAGGCAGCAATGGCACGAAGAGCAGAAAATAAGAGGTGAGGGAGGAAGCCGATGCAGGGAGGAAGAGCACCGAGCTCCGTTCCTGCTCAGGCCATTTGGCGTGTCTGCGCACCTCAGTGCCTCCCTGCCTCTGCCTCGTGGAGGAAGACCGCCGAGCCCTGCCCTGGCTCAGGCCACTGAGCCACTGAGTACACCTGCGACCCAGCATACTCCTCCAGTGTGCTGACCCAGAGGGCGCCCCCACCCACCCTGGCTCAACCCGCTGCCCTCAGCTACCCTCCCCATCTCTGAGACCAAGCACTGCTGTGAACGTTTGGCTCCCACTCTCCCTCCCAGAACCTTGAACTGCAGTGGACTGGCAGTGCTGGTTTGACAGGACACTTGGTGGCCCCTTGTCCAGACAGAGGATGCTGGAAGGTTCCGGTCACTACGTACCCAACAATCGGGCAAATATCAACTACACAGTAGGACCCTGGGACATACACTGCCAACAGTTGTGACCATTGGGATTAAATAACCAGATATTGGCCCAGAAGATGAAAATGACAAAATGAAAACCAAAATGCAATCTCAAACATCTAGTCCATCGGGTGCAAGAACAGGGGAGAGTGAAATGGAGGACTTTAAAAGTCATACGCCAGAAATCTCTGATAAGGTAGCAAACAAAGTAAAGAAACAAATCCCTGAGGCTATAGGGGAAATCAAATTAAAAGTAATGTCTTATGTAGCTAGGGAATAAATAGATTAAAAAAAATACAGGAGCATGGGAAATTGATTGAAACTTTGAATGAACAATGTGGAAAACAAGCAGAATCCAGGAAACAAATTCAAAGAGATAGCCAAGAAACAAATTCAAAGAGATAGCCAAGAAACAAAAAATTCTATTTTTTCTGTTTATTTTATTTATTCTATCACACTGTCTCTCTAGTGTAAACAATAATAAAAACTGACAGAATAATGGAGTCCAAAAAATATAATAGATATTGTGAAAGTGAAAGGGAAGGGAAGTGCTCTAAAGCATACAATTGAATGTACATTGTGTAAGATAGATGACCATATTACTGAATTTCTGCTGGAACATTGAACAGAACGATTTGCACTGTCAATGTTGAGTGTCTAGCCACTATTTATGCTTTGATTTTGTGACTTTGGCAACTGTTTTTTAAGATGACAATGAGTAATGTATATACTAGTGATTCTACGATGATGATTTTTTTTTTTTTTTTGTCTTTTTCCTTTTTATCGGTACCAGGGATCGAACTCATGACTGCCTGCTTGCAAGGCAGGCGCTTATGCCACTGAGCTAAATCCCCAGCCCTGATGATGATTTTTTTAATTCAGTATTGTCCTACCCTTCTTTTCTGTTTTTCTATTTTCTTTAATTTTATTTTCTTTCTTTGAGAAAAAAGAGAACAATATGCAACATAGCAAACATTCTTAAATTTCTTTCATTCTGTTTTGAAACCTATATTGTTATTCTTTTGAGTTTGCTATTGTTTATGTCTTTTGCTTTTTGTTTTACTTTTTTGACTTTTCTCTTTTTTAAATAAAAAAAGTAAAAGAAAATAAGGGGTGAATTGAAAATCCATGCATGGGATAGTCGCCTGGGTCTGTCTTGTCATTGGAATATTTGACATACAGGTATTACCATGAGATCAAAATATTCTTAAGAAAATTTCCCCTACTCCCACTCTCAAACTAAATATTCTGCTTTAGCAAACCTGGAGAACGAGTGTGTGCATTGGTACCCCGAATCAAAGAATTTTGGTTTAACACCGCTGACAGTCTAAACAAGTTAAGTATTGTTATCTTCATCTTCCAGGTGAAGTAACTCAGGCACATGGCTCAAGATTTACCAGGCAGCCTAACCAGAGTCTGCATATTTGGCTGATACACTGTGCTGCCAAAGGGGATTTTTTCTTTTTAAGACAGAGTCCACTATGTATTCCAGGGTGGTCTCTAACTTGTGGCAATCCTCCTGTCTCAGCCTTCTAACAGCTAGGATTACAGGTGTATACCACCAAACCGGGCAAGAGAACAATGTTTTTAAGGTTTTTTTTTTTTCCCAAATCCATTTTATTTCAAGGAGAAAAAGAAGAAAAAAACTAAAACAAAAATTCAAAACATGTCAATCAGAGGGTAATAATGGTACATACATTGCACATTGCTGTACCCAAATTATTTACCCAGAGCACATTTGTGTTTAGTTGTCCAAACATTACCGGCCAAATCTTTCTCTTTAGTGTACTCAGAGAAATTTGTAGTATAACTATATGAACTATTTTTGTATAACATATACATATGCGTATGTTGTTTCTTTCAGCTTCTCACACAAATGAGGCAATACTATGTGTATCTTATTATTTCACTAATGAGTATGGTCTCAAGTTGCAGCCATATACCTATAAAGTCTCCAGTTTATCCTTTTTATGGCTGAGTATTACTCCATTGTATAAAATATCACATCTTTTTTATCCATTTCTCAGTTGGTGGGCATTTGGGTTGTTTCCAAGATGTAGCTATTACAAATTGCGCTGCTATAAACATGGGTGCATATATATCACTGTGGTATGATCTTTCTAATTCTTTTGGGAAGATGCCCAGAAGATAAATAGCTGGGTTGTACAGAACCTCTAAACCTAGTTTTTTGAGGAATCTCCACACTGATTACCACAGTGGCTGCACCAGTCTACACTTCCACCAACAGTGGAGAAGGGTTCCTTTTCCCCCACAGCCCCTCCAGCATTTGTTATTGCTTCATTTCTTAATATTAGCCATTCTTTCTGGCATGAGATGGAATCTCAGTGTTGCTTTAATTTGCATCTTTTGAATGGTCAGTGCTGTTGAACATTTCACATTTTTATTTGCTGTTTGTATTTCTTCATCTGAGAAGTGTATATTCATCTCAGATGCCTATTTTTGGATTGGGTCTTTAAATCTGAGAGGACTAATTTCTTTGTATTCTTTATATGTTCTCAATTGTAATCCTGTGTCTGAGGTACAGCTGGCAAACATTTTCTCCCCCATAGTGGGTTGTCTCTTCATTCTTTGTGGTTCCTCTTGCTGTGCAAAAGTTTTTCAATAGGGTGAGATCCCAGTGGTTGATGTTTTGTGATAATTCCTATCCAATAGAGGTTTTGTTCATCAAGTCTTTGCCTATATCAATGTGTTCAGAGTTTTATCTATTCTCTCTTCCAGAAGATTTAATATTTATGTTTTAATATTAAGATCTTTGGTCCATTTTGAATTTACCTTGGTAGATGGTGAAAGATATGGGCCAGTTTTAATCTTCGGCATGTGTAGAGGCAGTTTTTTCCAGCACCGTTTATTAAAAAAGTTGTCTTTCTTCCCAGTGAGTATGGTTGGTACCTTGTTAAGAATAAGGTAATTTTACTATGTGTGGAGTTGTTTTTGCATGTTCTAATGTATTCTATTGATCTTTGGGTCTATGATTTTTTTGTTTGTTTTTTTTTCCAGACCACACTGTTTTTACCTCAGTAGCTTCATACTATAAATTCAAGTCAGGGATTGTGATGCTCCCTGTGTTGTCTTTGTTTCTCAGGATTGCCTTTGCTATTCCAGGTTTCTTCTGGCTCCAAATGACCTTTTGGATTGCTTTCTCTAATTCTGTGAGCTATGCTATTGGAATTTTGATTGGGACTGCACTGAATCT